ACTTATGCTTTCGAGGTAGTTCACAATACTGTGAGTGGGCTAGGAACTCGACCAGATGACCAAGTCATTTCCGGAAAAATTTAAATAATTTTGGATGGAATTCTGCTCCATTGGGACACCGGACAGAAGACCCGTCGCGCGGCGAGAAGGCAGAGACGCAGACGGGTCAGCGGACGAGTCGCAGCGCGTACTGTAGCGATTTGGCGTCAAGTTAATAGAATATGCTATAGTATGTCCCACAAGAACGCGCTGCGACTTATCCGTTGACCCGTCTGTTTCTGTCTTCTCGCCGCGCGACGGGCCTCCTGTAGGGTACCCGTTCCATTGGCACGGTCTTTCTTTCAGTAGTGAACTCATCGTGTAGGATCATCGTAAAAAAAAATGGAATGAGCATCTGCTATCTTTTCATGTTGGTACGTCAGTTTCGTCGAAGCCCTGTTCTTCATTTTGGAACGGTAATAGCGCTAGTACATAGGCAGAACCAGTGTCCTCTCTTCTGTGCCTTACGGGAGTCTCTCGAGGCGCTCAGTATGAAAGTTAAAGGCACAACCCAGGCAGAAGTCGTGTGAACGCTTCCCTTCGGTCTGTAGTATAGACCCCTAGAGGACAATCACAAATGTGGCGTTCCCGTGCACGGAAACCAACCGACAAGAGCGCTTGGGCCTTGCAAAGTAAGCTGCTGAAGCTGCAGATTTTTTTCTCTTATCAGGCTGTTGTCTGGCGCTCTCTCATCTGTAGCGCTCTCTCGCCTCATACTCTCCTCTCCGCGCTTAGTCTCTCATTCCCTTAGCACAGCCGATTAGGAAGGTGAGTGAGCCCTTAACCTAAGCGTTTTCGACGGATTCTTTTCCTTTTTTTTACTGCCGGCCCATTTCGCACCAATACATTCGCATTCGTGTGCAAGAGCCACACCAATGTGATCCTGGGGCATGCCTTTAAGTTGCTGTCCACATCTACATATCTATTGATGGGTTGAGAAAAGAATCGTCCCAAGTTTGGAGGAAGTTGGGGAACTCAAAAAAGAAATTTCTCAATGCCCGTGATAATTTATTTCCTTTTCGGTTATTCAGAGATGAAAAATGATATGATGAAAAATTGTTCAATTGATCTTGTACTTCATATTCTGAATATCAGTTAGAGAGGCAGCTTCGGCACCACAAGAAAGTATATGCTCATTCAGATGTTCACACATGTCTGACAAGGAAAAGGAGCTGTGTCCACGTTTGATAGATTACCTCGTCATAGTTGGGAAGAGAAATAGAATAAGGCAAGTTTTCTGTTTTATATCGTGGTAGCAAAAAATGCACACACAGAATAAGGGAGCAAGTCGAACTTTAGGATCGGGTCAAAGAGCTTGAAGGGCCCCGCAAGGGCTGAGACTAGTGTTTTTTTAGGGCAGTACACAAAACTCAATGTACTCCGCTGGTTGGATCACTTAGATCCATATCTCCAGGCCACTAAATGAGTAATTTTGGCCGATCGATGCGCTTCCCTATCCAGATAGAACTGCAGCGGCGCCTCAATAGTTGGTGATAAATTTACGTGATCAATAGAGCGAGGATTCTCAAGACTGTGACTTGACCTAAATGTCTCAAGCTCGGTTTTGGTGGTTATGTAGTAAACAAGATCAACAAAGGCATAATCTTAACCCT